CTCTCCTATCTGTTGCAAAGACAAACCATATATAGGAAATGTGTAGGCCATCTAAATCTAAAACAAAATCCATAAGCACTGATTGAATCCATCATTTACCTGCTGCTCTTTTTGTTAAATATTCATACAATGTAGGCATCTTAGTATATTTGGTAATTTCACAGTTTCCAGCTACCACACTACCACCAAGCATTAATTGACATAACATAATGTGTAGTCAGTGTCAATATGTAGGCTATTATAATGTGTTCAGCTTTCTCGATAACCAGGGAGAGGGAGACCAATTAATATGGTCTGGAATGGAATAGTAGTGGAATAGATGAAGCACAAGCACTGCCTGGAAACATCAGACAGGGGTGTGTTTCAGATACGTATGTTAGTGTTATGTTGAATTGTCTTGAATTGAATGCATCGTAAAATAGCTCAGTGAATATCATCATTATGATGTACAATCTACAACAGCCACATGCACATCGGTCTGGAAAACCTAGCTGCCCCAGTTAGAACTGGACATATTGACCACATCAATACAATAGCCTAGGCTACATGTCAGTCAAGGCAGAGAACATGATAGCCTTCCATTTGAATTCGCCTTCATTGGCATGAACTTGATTGACTACTGGAAAAAATGGACGGTGTGGCTATATAGCAGTTATTACAATGTAGCTAATAAAAACTCGAGCTTGGTTTGCAAGCACTGTTGAGTCTTCGGGGTATTTCCCACTGTTGATAGCCACTGATAGACCGTTATCTGGGCTAATAAATAAAGACCTGGTACTTACCCATAGCTCTGACCCCCAGCTCATGGTTCAAAGGCGATTTCCTCGTAATAATCCACGATTCAGACGGTGTATCGATGCTAAACCACTGCGGCGGGTATTATCTTTTTCTTCCTTTGAGGTTGACGGTGTCTATGTGAGCGCCCTCCGAATTTGTCCTTCCCTCCTAGTGCGTAAATGCGTGTTTTTTTCACCTTCTCATTCTGTCTGTCTTCTACAAAATGGCCAGAAGCCGCAGCATAATCTTCAAACGGAGTGTGTGTGTGGTGCTGCTGTTCTGTGCAGAGTGCGGCCACCGCAATGACAGCGACTGAGGCCCGTGTACTCAGAAAACGCACGAGAGGATACGTAGTTGGGGGCGATGGAGCCACAGATGTTTGTAGTCTGGTGACGAGGAGGCAAAATTGTTTTCGTGTGAAAATTGATAATCACATTATGATATTTATTTTACACTGCGGTGACTGCCACAGATTTGCTCCTAAACGTCAGTGTTTTTAATGAATTAATTAACCATGATAATCATATGGTGTTACGATAATAACAAATCATCATAATATAAATTGGCCATATAATAGCCATTATCGAGGTTATAAAGGTTATTTTGTGTGTTTGTCAACTTACTGGATATAATGTATATACTTTTAGACAACATTATTGAGCACAGTTTTCATCGGTAGAGCAGTTTATAAAACGTCATTATAAGCAACACCATTCAGGATGAATGGAACGAACAGGAAAGATTCCCAGGGTCTGTGACGCCCTCCATCTGGTGGGAAGCAGACCCGGTAGCGAGCGTGGTGAAACAGAAGAGTCACTGTCTGAGTCTATATCCGACGAAGTGTACAGGAGGACATTAGTCTAAAGAGTGTGTAATATCAATGAAAGAAGTGGTGTGTGTAAACTGTATTAGAAGTGTCCGGTTCGAGAGAGGCAAGTTGAGGGGATTTGGGGGATGGAGGAGGGTTTGTTAGAAGTTAGTAGGGCTCTTATTATATTTGTGTCTGCCCTTCTCCTAGGCCTATTATATGGATCAGACAACGTCGTTTTTATTGATCTGTTTGTCAGTGTCAGCAGAGTAGGCTACCTTGTAATTTTGTCGTATTAAAAAAGATTATGCTAATGTTACCAGTCATATAAAGTGTAGCAGGATTGCATGAAATGTGTTTATCAAAGGCCATCAAGAAATGTATCTGATAGGCCTATAGCCTAGGCCTACGCTGCATTGAACAGTATTTTTTGCAAACAGTGATTGAGTTATATTATTACTAAATGATGACTATCCAATCTAATGATCACATTAGGAATAATAGGCTATTTTACATAAGTCTACAAATGCAAGGATGCATGGAATGCTTTATTAGGGTGCATGTTTATGATACAAATGTGCTGTTATAAAAAATTAAATCCCACGCGCCGCCTATGTTAAAATGTATTGCATGTGAAAAGTGATAGGACACATCTTTACCAGGCCTTGGCTACTAGGCCCACTGAGATCATATATGAAATTAATAGCGATTCTATATGTAATTCTATGATCTAGGCTATTTAAACAAATTGTGTGCGCGGCTGGGGGGCCCTTTACCGGTAACAAATAACGTTTACTTTCACCCCTGGTTTCTCTTATGTTTGTTTCTTTATTAATTTAGTCTTTAAACTGTGATTGACTACACACTTCAGTACAGTATGTGGCGGCATGCACCTCTAATGTTTGTTTGCGGATCGCCATAATATTATATAATTTTTATTTAACTAGGCAAGTCAGTTAAGAACAAATTCTTATTTACAATGATAGCCTACCCCGGCCAAACCCGAACGACGCTGGGCCAATTGTGCGCCGCCCTATGGGACTCCCAATCACGGCCGGATTGTGATACAGCCTGGGTCTGCAGTGACCCCTCTAGCAATGAGATGCAGTGCCTTAGACCACTGCACCACTCGGGAGAAGAAGGTGAAGAAAGATAATAAGGTGTTGTTGTTGGGGACACACGTTGTCTAGGTTCAAGGGTTAATCATTACCAACAACATAGGATCCTTGGCTAGAGGACTTCTCCTATGCATTGTCTAAGCACGGTGTAGAGTTGATCCATAGTTCGGGGAATGGTAAATGGCGGTGAGTAGTGCGGACGAAATGGAGGAAGCAACAGCTGTGCTGGAATGCGAACAATATGGGTGTCAGTTCTGATGGTATGGAGCGGGAGGATGAGGGTCAAGGACCTGAATGGTCGGTAAGAGAGATCATGATACAGAAAGTAGTGGAGCGTCTAGTAAAGAAAGGATAAAGAGGGCCAAGGTAGGAAGCAAGAGTAATGATGTGTTGGAGTGAAAAGTGGTGATAGTGTTTGATGAGACCACAGGGCCTCACTTAGACCCTATCCGACTAACTAATGCCATAGAGAAAGAGGTAGGTGAAGTGAAATTAGCTTGGTTAATTGGAAATGGTAGATCGTTAATATTGTGTGATAGCCTGGCTCAGCAAGAGAAGATTTTGAAAATAGAAAAGCTTAATGGGAAGAATATTAAAAGCCATGTCCCCTGGTGGTTATGCTAGATTGAGGGGAGTCATCACTGGGGTCCCAATATCTATGTCCATAGATGATATTATAGAAAATGTGACGGGAGGCAGAGTGATTGAGGCCAACAGGTTGATCAGTAGGAAAGAGAGTCAAAGAAGTGAAAGCTTATCAGTGATTCTGAGGTTTGAGAAAGTCTTGACGGGAAAAGTACAGATTGGATTCCTTAGTTTCAATGTTAGAGAATTTGTCCCATATGCACTGCAGTGTTTTAAGTGCCAACGATTGGGACATGTAGCTGCTCAGTGTAAAGGAAAGAAAAGATGTGCCAAGTGTGGCTGTTAAGCACTGTAATTGTGGGGGAGAACACAGTGCAGCATTTGGTGGATGCCAGGTACAGAGAGAGGCTAGAGAGGGTCAGAGATATAGGGTAAAATCAAATCAAATTGTATTTGTCACATACACATGTTTAGCAGATGTTATAGCTGGTGTATCGAAATGCTTGTGCTTCTAGCTCCGACAGTGCAGTAATATCTAACAATTTCACAACATATACCCAATACACACAAAACTAGTAAGGAATGGGATTTAAGAATATATACATATATGGACAAGCAATGACAGAGCGGCATGGACTAAGATACAGTAGAATATTATAGAATAGAATACAGTATATACATATGAGATGAGTAGTGCAAGATATGTAAACATTATTAAAGTGACTAATGTTCCATTTCTTAAAGTGACCAGTGATTTCAATAGGCAGCAGCAGCCTCTAATGTGCTAGTGATGGCTATTTAACATTCTGATGGCATTGAGATAGAAGCTGTTTTTCATTCATGTCCTTGATTATCTTTTTGGCCTTCCTGTGACATCGGGTGCTGTCTTGGAGGGCGGGTAGTTTGCCCCCGGTAATGCGTTCGGCAGACCGCACCACCCTCTGGAGAGCCCTGCGGTTGTGGGCGGTGCAGTTGCCGTACCAGGCGGTGATACAGCCCGACAGGATGCTCTCAATTGTGCATCTGTAAAAGTTTGTGAGGGTTTTAGGTGCTAAGCTGAATTTCTTCAGCCTCCTGAGGTTGAAGAGGCTCTGTTGCACCTCCTTCAGTCATGATGTATCGTATGCAGAGGCTGTAAAACATATTGGTAGAGCTACAGTGCGGACTGATGGAGCTTACATGGATGTACCTGTAGTAAGTGTCTGTCGGGGCTGGTGCTTCTGATGGTCCTGGCATGGTTTCGAGGCCTGTTCAGTAATCTTGTGCTCATGAATGTACGGTGTCAAAGGACACTTTGATAATGAATAAAGTTGACTTCATAGCTTTTATTGGTAAGGTTATCAATACGACTTGGGTTGTGGAAAGCAGAAATGCCAGGTTGAAGGTTATTGTGGAGACGGCAAAATAGATATTGGGGCTAACAGATGTTACTGTTGAAATGGTTGTTGACATGCTGAACAATCCTAAGGGTGGAGTGTTTCAGCATGATCAAGTTTAATGGGGTTGGGGAGGGGGAATGGTGTGGTAGAAGTATTTTTCATGTTAGTGCAGAATTGGGCAGATCATGATTGATCGTACATTCCAGCACTGTAGGTGGCGGCATTCACTTAAACGATTGTTTTGCGGACCGCCATGATATCATAGAAGAAGAGAAAAAAGACGAAGTTGTTTCTAGGAACCAAGCGCAACCACGGTTTCCTGTCGAACATTCACAATTGTGACACATTGCAGAAGTACACATTTCAGCACGGCATACAGAAAAACGTGTAGATATTTGTTTGTACAGCATAACGATTATGGCGACTTTGTAAGTATTAATTTAGGTCGTTGTAGAGGTGAACTATTGCTGTTCAAACCGTGATTAGGGATTACTTGTTTCGTTATCATTACTTGAGCAAATGTAGCTAGCTAATTTACTAATGCTTGATCTCCTGTCCTGATCACATGTTAGCAAAACTAGCTAGCTAGCTAACTTCTACCAAAAAGCAAATTTACTGAGCAACAGGACGTTTGAAGTATAGTAGGCTGTCAAATATTAAGTCAAAGGTTAGCAATGTTTACTTTTTTAAAATGAGATGTGAAGACTAACGTTATAAGTAAAAGTCCAGGCTGCCATTACACTGCAACTAGTCTTTAGCAGCTGTAGTTAGCTAACGTTAGCTTGCATCTGCCTCCCACTCAAGAAATCAGAAGAGGAGAATTGACAGCCATATTTTCTAAATCAAAGCTCATAGCCCTCGAGATATGATGTCTAAAGTCAAGCCAGAGAAAACAGACTCTGCTGCTTCTTCTAAAACGCCAGAATCCAGTCAGGACCAAAAGAAAAAGAAACCTGTAAAGAAAAAGTTTTTTGAACACGCCAAGAAACAACCAGTGGCAAAAGATCAAGGTAAAACGAAGGCCTTGCTTCCGCCGAAAGATGCCCAACAGTTTTCAGCCAACTGGAAAACTTTACTAGAGGTAAGGACTGGGTTATGACAAGTCAGAAATGTTGTGATAAAGATTTTGAATAGATGATACAGACCTGAAGGCATTGTTGCCAATGTCATCACTGTCTAAAATGGGATGATATGATGCTATTGATGGTTATTAGAGCTCTCTCTACTTGCAGGTGTTCAAATCCAACCCCCTGCCAGTAAAAAATAAACCAGTTCAGCAGAACTCAAAGAAGGAAGTCCCTAAGAAAGCCACTAAAGACATTTCAAAAAAGGACAAGACTCATAAGAAACCTGCTAAAGACATTTCAAAGAAGGAAGAGGGGGTGGTGGATAAGAAGCCTGCGAAAGACTTTTCAAAGACAGCGAGTGATGCCAAGGCAGCCAAGCCCATGCAGGTGAACAGTGGGAAAGCAGGGAAGGGCAGTGCCATTCCCAATAAATCCCAGGTGAATGGAAAAGGTCCAGGACCATCGGGGAGTGAACAGCCCAAAGCCAAGAAGAGGAAACAGAACAGTGCCCAGGTGGAGGGTAACGCACAGATGAACAAGAAGAAGAAAATAGAGGAAGTGGAGGAAAAGAAACCCACTGAGTAAGTCTGTCCAGTGTTACCAATATTGTTCATAAGCTAAATATCTGACAGGTGTGTGTAACTATTGAGATTTTGACTTCAAGAACCTCTCACTGTTGTGAAAAGCATGTGCACGGTCTGTGTGTTAAGTCATTTCTATAGTCAGTTGTCAAACTTGAGTACAAACCGAAGGTCAGATTATCACATTATTTCCACTGGCACCTCAGTTTTGGTTAATGTGTGTGGGGGTTAATACATATAATCTGTCCTCTACTAGATCGGACATGTGGTTTGATGATGTGGACCCTGATGACATTGAGGCCACAGTGGGAACAGAGGCAGCAGATATCATGAGGAAGATACAAGGCACTCGGAAGACAGATGCCCAGACCACAGAGAAGGCGCTGGTCAAGGACAGGGGGTTTGAAGGGTAAGTTAGAGGACACCAGCAGCTCCTAATAGTAAGGTCTACAGTGGTTTGCGAAAGTATTCACCCCCCTTGGCATTTTTCCTATTTTGTTGCCTTACAACCTGGAATTAAAATTGATTTTGGGGGGGTTTGTATAATTTGATTTACACAACATGCCTACCACTTTGAAGATGCTAAATATTTTTTGGGGTGAAACAAACAAGAAATAAGACCAAAAAAAAACAGAACTTGAGCGTGCATAACTATTCACCCCTCCCAATGTCCATACTTTGTAGAGCCACCTTTTGCAGCAATTACAGCTGCAAGTCTCTTGGGGTATGTCTCTATAAGCTTGGTACATCTAGCCACTGGGATTTTTCCCATTCTTCAAGGCAAAACTGCTCGAGCTCCTTAAAGTTGGATGGGTTCCGCTGGTGTACAGCAATCTTTAAGTCATACCACAGATTCTCAATTGGATTGAGGTCTGGGCTTTGACTAGGCCATTCCAAGACATTTAAATGTTTCCCTTTAAACCACTCGAGTGTTGCTTTAGCAGTATGCTTAGGGCCATTGTCCTGCTGGAAGGTGAACCTCCGTCCCAGTCTCAAATCTCAGGAAGACTGAAACAGGTTTACCTCAAGAATTTCCCTGTATTTAGCGCCATCCATCATTCCTTCAATTCTGACCAGTTTCCCAGATTAAAAACATCCCCACAGCATGCTGCCACCACCACCAAGTTGCACTGAAGGGATGGTGTTCTCGGGGTGATGAGAGGTGTTGGGTTTGTGCCATTCCTTGATGGCCAAAAAGCTCAATTTTAGTCTCATCTGACCAGAGTACCTTCTTCCATATGTTTGGGGAGTCTCCCACATGGCTTTTGGCGAACACTTGTTTTTTTCTTTAAGCAATGGCTTTTTTCTGGCCACTCTTCCATAAAGCCCAGCTCTGTGGAGTGTACGGCTTAAAGTGGTCCTATGGACAGAGACTCCAATCTCCGCTGTGGAGCTTTGCAGCTCCTTCAGGGTTATCTTTGGTCTCTTTGTTGCCTCTGATTAATGCCCTCCTTGCCTGGTCCGTCAGTTTTGGTGGGCGGCCCTCTCCTGGCAGGTTTGTTGTGGTGCCATATTCTTTACATTTTTTAATAATGGATTTAATGGTGCTCCGTGGGATGTTCACAACTTTGTCCCTGACCTGTTTGGCGAGCTCCTTGGTCTTCATGGTGCCGCTTGCTTGGTGGTGCCCCTTGCTTAGTGGTGTTGCAGAATCTGGGGCCTTTCAGAACAGGTGTGTATATATACTGAGATCATGTGATAGATCATGTGACACTTAGATTGCACACAGGTGGACTTTATTTAACTAATTATGTGACTTCTGAAGGTAATTGGTTGCACCAGATCTTATTCAGGGACTTCATAGCAAAGGGGGTGAATACATATGCACGCACCACTTTTCCGTTGGAAAAAGTGAGTTGAGTTGGAAAAGTAGCGCTTTCTATCAAATATTATATGGACAGATCCTAGATTAGCAGTCCTACTCTGAGACACTTTGTGGATACGGGCCCTGAGCTTACTTCGCCATAAGTACAGAGCAGAACATTGTTGGCTCTCTTCAGTCTCTTGAATGAAATGATTTCTCTGGTGTGACCAAGGCTTTTTCTCTCCCTGTTCATCATGGCACCTGTCAGCCTAACCAAGGCGGTAGCTATGGACTGTGAAATGGTGGGTGTGGGGCCAGACGGAGAGGACAGCATCGTAGCCCGGGTCTCCCTTGTCAACCAGTTTGGGAAGTGCATCTACGACAAACACGTCAAGCCCACAGAGAAGGTGACGGACTACAGGACAGCTGTCAGCGGCATCCGGCCAGACAACATCAAAAACGGTGAGCGGGATCAGCCAAACTCAGACCTCTTTTAACACTATATTCATGTTCTTATGATAGCATTGGAAACGGCAACAAAGCTCACTAAAGCCCAAAACAGTTGTCTTCTTTTTGGACTAGATTGTCTGCGCAGTTTTCAAATGTGACTTTTGTCTCATCAATGCTGTTATATGCTGCAGGTGAGAATGTGAAGACTGTACAGAAAGAGGTGGCTGAGATCCTCCAGGGGAGAACGCTAGTGGGACACGCCATTCACAATGACCTTAAGGTACACTTCTATGATATAACCTACACTAACTAAAACCTGACTTGACTTGAGATCATTGTCAACATTTACATAAACTTTCCATGCTGAAATCTTTCAGATTTTGCTCTTGGATCACCCCAAAAAGAGAATCAGAGACACCCAGAAGTATAAACCTTTCAAGAAAATTGTGAAGGTAAAGACTGTTTTTTGGGGGGCAGGTATTAATGTGTGAGACAGAAGGGGTTCTAATAATACTATAAGAGGGAGATATGAACAATGTTCTTTTCTTTTCAGAGTGGTCGGCCCTCTCTGAAACTCCTGTGTAGAGAAATACTTAACGTCAAAGTACAGCAGGGAGAACATTCATCCGTAAATCAGCTTTTTATCAATCTTTTTTTATTTTCTAGCTCACAAATATACAGTAGTCTTCTGTGAGCCATAGCCAATGTCTGAGAATGTGTTGCAGGTCGAAGACGCCCAGGCGACCATGAGATTGTACACAATGGCGAAGAAACATTGGGAGGCAGAGATCAAGGCTAGTCATAACAACCCAGACTTAACCAAGAAGACCAAAGAACCAAGGAAGCCCAAATCACCAAAACGCAAATGAACCTGACTGACTGGTTCCGAAGTCTTAACTGCATCAGTCTGTAATGGGACTGTGGACTAACTATTGACTAGGTGGCACAGAACAGGAGGATTGACTGAATTAACAAGTGTCTTTGGGAAGTGGAGTGGACTCGCACATATAGAGGTCTTAGTGAAGAGTCATTTTAGGAATCTCTTTCGGTGACCCACAAAGAAGTTTGTTCAAATGAATATTGACTTTATTCAAATCCCACTCAACCTAAATCATTCAGAAAGTTTGTCCTAGTGCTCCTTCAACTATGCATCAGTCTCATTCATTGTCTGGTACATGATCTTCAGTGTTCTTTTTGTTCAGAATGTGTTTAAAATGTCATCTCTTTATCTTCTAACATCCACAAGTTAGGTTTAGAGAAGATGTTGCATTTGAGAGCTTTAACATGAATTAAACGTTTCTCGTTAATCACATGCAGTATGTCATCTTTTTACACGTCTGCGCATGGATCATGTAATAACTGGGAAAAGACGGGGATTGTTTAAAAGGCAGAATGTTTTTATTTATTTTTTGTCAGATGGGGAGAGAACACCATATAAGCAACCAAGTTAGTGGGCTCCTTTGAACCTCCAGTTCACAAAGGCTAACCAAATTCAGCATCACAGAAGCATATGCACTCACCCCTTACAGCAAACTACAGGTCAGTTATCATTTCTACTGCAGGGGCAACCTGTTGGTGTTTGAGGTTAACACTTCCCTTCTTTGAGCCTGTTCTTCCATAATACTATTGTGTAGCCATGAAGGACTTGTCTGTGCCTAGACATCATGAAAAACTAAGGATTAGTGTCTCTCCTGTATATGGGCAAGAGACCTTTGGTTTAATGCATGAAACATGCATGTAGTCAACCCAATTTCTAGCTCTTCCCCAGTTGCTTTCTGTGTCAAGAAAGGTGATAACAGTAAAGCTGCTAACATGCTTATGTTGCATATTAATGAACTTTGAGCCTAAATAGTGTATTTTATAGAATATCGCTGGTGTGCTTTTAGTGTTTGATTCCTTTTTACAAAAGCTGGTTCATGTGGATAGTACCTTTGCATTGGTTAAAGTGACCTGCATTAGTATTTTTGCTAGTTACTCGGTATACTGTATATAGGAAGTAAAAATAGGCCTACCTGAGAACTGGTTGTGGGTGACCATTTTAATTAGTAACTGAATTAAGTTATTTCCAATCCAGAGATAACGTGGGAGATACACAAACAATCCCAACAGTAGCATGTTGTTGAACAACACATTTGTACCTGTGATCAGAGGTTGGACATAAGATTGTATCTGACTGAGGGACAAAGGCTCTGTTTGCTAAATAGTCCCTGAATCAAGACACATTCCCTCACCACAGTCCTTAAAGCATGCTTCCATGGGCCGGGTCACACTACTGTATGTAGGGTCACAAACATTCTGAAGCGGCATAGATCAACCAGGTTCTAGAAGAGAACACCAATAGCATTTGAAAGGTTTAAAAAAGAGGTGCTAAAGCAGCATAGCCATTCAACTCACATTCTTATTCTGGTTCTCAAGATAAACGCAACATGCAGCTGTTTGATTACAAGCACATTTTTTCCTAGGTCCTGTGTAGGTACATTAAACCTAAACATGCATTGTATATCGCAAGTAAGGGAATATAAAAAAATAAAGACTCCCGTCTTTGGGTTCACTGGATGGAATGGATGTACGTTTGGGATAACTGTCCCAATGGACGAATTTCCTGCAGCACAAGGAAAGTAACATGTCTTGGGGAAATTACTTAAATATTTCACATTCACTATCGCCCAGGTTTCTTAAAAGGCGGATTGGCTAAGATGGTACATAACTTTTCCTACTAGCCAAAAAGGGTAACCCCAGTAACCAGGAAAACAAAAACAGCACACAAAAACAGAATAAAACAACACAACAGCCAAACCTTTACATTAACTTAAATGTCATGGAAAACAAAATTCACACTAAAGGACCAAACATTAAATCTATATGGACGAATTACATCAAGTAAGATATCAAAGATGCAGCAGTTTAGGTAAATAAATTAACTCAGTAACAGAGAGGGAGGAGGAAAGGAGAGGAGCAGGGATGACATCGTTGTCCCTTGGTTAAGGATAGTGTTCCTCCTCTGTGGGAACAGAGGGATGATGGGATAGCCATCTCACTATATTGACCCGTCAGTTGTCCCGGTCATCTTCTCCTCATCCCCCTGTTTCTCGTGATTCAGCCTGGCGTAACTCACCGCATCGCCCCTGAGAGAGGGAGAGGGAGGAGAGAGAGAAGCAGGGAAGAAATGACACCGCAGAGAACAGGGGAGATGTTAAATATCATGTTGAACGAGAGATTCACAGGGTTACTTTGTCACTCAGGGTTATAATGAGTATGAGAACAAAGCAGTTCTCCTGTTACAAGACGTTACATTATTTTACATTTAATTAATCTTGTTACTGATTAATAACACCTGAAAATCTAAATGTTGATTAAGAAATTTGAACTGAAAGGGGTGAAAGTGTGAGAGAGAGAAATAAATTACATTAAAATACATACACACACAGTACATTCAAACCAAAATCTTAGCACTAAAGTATAAATAGAAAAGTCGTACTTTTTGCCCAGGGAGGCGAGACCATAGAGGACTCCTGTAGCGAAGGCAATGGCATTCCCAAACAATGTGGTGATGGAGAAGCTCAGGAATATGGGAAACAGTGCCATCCTGGAAATAAGAAAAACAGGGATTGAGTGATTGATTACAGAGAATATGACATGTGTTTTTCAACTGCGATATAGGAAAAAGTGCCATCCTAAAAATAAGATGAACGGATTGATTACCTCAGTGTTTCCCAAACTCGGTCCTTTGGACCCCAAGGGATGCACCTTTTGGTTTTTGCCCTAGCACTACACAGGTGATTCAAATAATCAACTAATGCTAGGACAAAAACTAAAACGTGAACCCCTTGGGGTCCCGAGGAAGGAGTCTGGAAAACACTGGATCACATTAAACCTGTAGTGGGTTTATCAACTGGTTAAAGACTCATTTAAATTCTAAGCCTAGACAAATGGACAGGTGAGTCCTGTGAAGCCAGCAGGTCTCAGTCCAGTTCTTACCCACAGTAGAAGAAGGCTTTCTGCCATGGCTTGAATTTGTCAGCTCTAGCTGCCACTGCATTCGCAAACTCAATGAACTGGCAGCAGAATGGGACTTCACACAGGAACAACACAAAGGCATTCAACCTTGAAACAGGAGGAGAGGACGTTAACACAGCGTTTGGTGAATCTTTTTATACACACACACAGGCGAGCAAACGCACTACTGTATGTAGGCATCTAAGGATCATATTGTGGAAGACTGAAACTTACACCATCCATACTCCAGCGGCGATGTTTAAGGGGTTGACAGTGACACACATCCACACTCCTGAGATGGCACATGCTTCGGTGGGAGAGAAAATTATATTACATGCAATGTTACATTTCTCATAATGCAACCAGATGAAGTACAAACAGGCACAAATATGCACTTCCAGCATATAGGGATACCATGAATACCAACAGACCATAATAAAAGGAGGCTTTGTTCCAAGTTAAAGAGATGAGAAATAGTGTTATTACTCTGACTGGAGAAATTATTCATACAAACTCAAATCAAATAAAGCTTAACTGAAAACCACAAGGGTCTGAATTTCTCATTTAAACAAACATGGTTTTGATGCCAGGGAAACCGCCACAGAGGCTCAGCTCTTCTCCTCTGGCAGATAGCTTTATTTGAGACAAATAGGAGGCAGATGATGGGTATTAATCAGAGTTTACAGGCCCCCTGCTAAGATCCTAATAGGCCCCTGATATGCACTACCAGTCCAGTGGCCACACTGTGAGCATGAGAAGGGACTCAGACTATGAACAGATGGGATATTTACTCGCATTACATCCATTATACTGTGTACACACACAAGCTGGTAGACTTAAGGAAATGAATTCACACAGCCCACTACAGTATCGCATCGATGTTGAGACAGCTCATCTTATGTTTTTCTACCCAACTTTGATTTTGGCTAAATTATTAACTTGTGGGGCTAGAGTTGTATTGGTTTCAAACCATTTAAAAGATGCACTATGCAGAAATTGCTCAAGCTATTTCCTGGTTGCTTAAATTCTAATAGTTCGCCTAATTTCAGTTTATGTGACAAAACAAGCAAGTTTAGTGTAGAGAATCATTGTACCATCTAAACCGCTGTGAAATATTTTCCATAACCAACAATCCTGTAGTTTCAGCTGTTTGAAGCAGGTGTACAAAACCTAAAATGAGGCATAGAAATAGCACACATAGAACAGATCTACCACTTCTTAGACTTGCTTTCAATGAGAATGACAGATCTATAACTACTAGTTCTATGTGAATTTGGTCAGTTCACACAAAAAAAGTACATATTGCGGCATTAAAAAGCTTGAAAACACGGCTCAGGATTTCTATCTAGAGAGAAACCTCACGCTAGTAGTGACTGATTGATGGAGATCTTTATTTTATTTTTTACCCCCCCATTTTCTCCCCAATTGGTAGTTACAGTCTTGTCCCATCGCTGCAACACCCATACAGACTCGGGAGGCGAAGGTCGAGAGCCATGCGTCCTCCGAAACATGACCCTGCCAAGCCACACTGCTTCTTGACACACTGCTCGCTTAACCCGGATGCCAGTCGCACCAATGTGTCGGAGGAAACACCGTACAACTGGCGACCGAAGCCAGCGTAAGGAGTCGCTAGAGCGTGATGGGACAAGGACATCCCGGCCGGCCAAACCCTCCCCTAACCTGGACAATGCGGGGCCAATTGTGCCCCGCCTCATGGGTCTCCTGGTCGTGGCCGGCTGCGACACAGCCCAGGATCGAACCCGGTCTGTAGTGACGCCTCAAGCACTGCGATGCAGTGCCTTAGACCGCTGAGCCACTTCGAGAGGCCCTTGATGGAGATCTTACACTAGTGTGATTAAATTAAACGTATGGCACTGGCAAAAAAATGATAATCCTACAGTACCAGACGAGACCATTCAGCTAGCTAGCACACTCGTGCCATATAAACCACAGACAAGACACACATACATGCAATACTCTGCAGCAGCTAACAGAGGAAGCATATAGGACCTATCCTATCCTGCACTCTGATTCTACAGCATGCTGAATAATACAGAGCCCATTGACTATGCATCGGTCCAGCACGTGAATGTGATACAGCGGCTACTACTCCGGTATCAGCAAGGCAGGAAAGGGATAGGTGAGAAGGGAGGGCAGGGCTGTCATAGGCCTAATGCTTGGGAACTGCAACGTAAGCACAAACATCACCTCTGTCTCACACAATGACCGTATATATGAATGGACAAAGCCATCGATCACGTGACACCATACATTCCTATGTGAAGACTCAATAGCACATTGAAGCCAAATGAAGTTGGTTAAGATGGCGTCTCATGGAGACATAACATGCACAGTTTGAGCTATTCCAGGAAGTGATGTTGCATGCTAGCTCAGTGCTGCCCCCTCTCAAATCGAAGGCCGACAGGGGTACTGCAGGCTAACATTAGCCTGTAGCAACTAAATTATCCTTATAACTTCTTCTGTGTGCAGATTTTTAAATAATCAGTTCAAGGACATACATCTGGTGTATTAGAAGCAAATTATTGGTACCACACTGAGTCCCTGAGGGAGGATGTATTCTAGCAAACATTATAAAATGGAAGCCATCACTGAATAGATATGACTTAGGAGATGTGTGCCAGTCAGGCAAGCAGACAGCCTATGATTTTGCCCACTCCCAACATCCTGGTGCAGTGAGGGGACAAGGGAAAAGGGGATACCTAGTCAGTTGCACAACTGAATGCATTTAACCTGACCCCTATGAATCAGAGAGGTGCGGGGGGGGCTGCCTTAATCGCCCGGGATTGACATCATCAGCGCCCGGGGAGCAGTTGTTGTTGGGGGTTAACTGCCTTGCTCAAGGGCAGAACGGCTGATTTTTTCCACCTTGCCGGCTCGGGGGTTCGAACCAGTGACCTTTTGGTTACTGGCTCAATGCTCTTAACCGCTAGGCTACCTGCCGCGGAACATGTGACCAAAGGGTTTAGTTCTGTACAGAGAGATGCGGGGGTAGAGTGGTGTGCCAGTGCTTTGTCTGGGTAGACAGAGGTGCTCAGTGAGGAGACTGAAGGCAGTGACTAAACACTATAATATTTCAAAGAAAGCACATCAACAGAGCTTCCTAGAGAGAATATAGCCTCATTATCCAACAGCACAATGCTCAGAAATCTGTGTGTGTGTGTGTATCAGCAATCCTTGTGTATCATCGCCTGGTACGGCCCAGTACATCACTGGGGCCAAGCTTCCTGCCATCCAGGACCTATATACTAGGCAGTGTCAGAGGAAGGCCCAAAAAATTGTCAACGACTCCAGTCAACCAAGTCATAGACTGTTCTCTCTGCTACTGCACGGCAAGCGGTACCGGAGTGCCAAGACTAGGTCCAAAAGGCTCCTTAACAGCTTCTACCCCCAAGCCATAAGACTGCTGAACAATTAATCAAATGGCCACCCGGAGTATTTGCATTCACAGCCCCCTTTGATTTTACACTGCTGCTACTCGCTGTTTATTATCTATGCATAGTCACTTTACCCCTACCTACATGTACAATTACCTCGACTAACCTGTACCCCCGCACATTGACTCGGTACCGGTACCCCCTGGATATAGTCTCGTTATTGTTATTTTATTGTGTTACTTTTTATTTTATTTATTTACTAAATATTTTCTTAACTTTATTTTTGAACTGCATTGTTGGTTAAGGGCTTGCAAGTAAGCATTTCACGGTAAGGTCTCCACCTGTTGTATTCGGCGCATGTGATTGATTGATTTGATTTGATTTTTGTACAAGGGCCATGTTAAATAAATACAAAATCTTCATGCTTCTTTGTGAATAGGCTAGTATGCCAGAAATGGGTCATGAGGAAAAACTTGTTTTGACATGCTTGCCAGTAACATGCGTCATTACATTTACATTTTAGGCATTTAGCAGAGTCTCTTATCCAGAGCGACTTACAGTTAGTGAGTGCATACATTTTTATACTGGCCCCCCGTGGGAAACGAACCCACAGCCCAGGCGTTGCAAACGCCATGCTCTACCAACTGAGCTACAGAGGGCATGAAAGGCATGGACCCCATTAAAAACATTGAGACTGTAGACGTGGAAGGGGTGTGTGCCAGGACCGATCAGAATCGGACAGTCGTGTGTAGTCTGCAGGTGCAACCACAGTAGATAAGAAAATGGATGGTTAGCTTTTACTTACATACTCCGCCCAGGACCCCAGCGATTTTGCAGAGCCATCGATACCACCATGACATGCCATCATCCTCCGTGACAGATTTTGGAGCTGCTGCCTCGTCGGAGTTCATTTTGCCCCAATAAATTATTCAGTGACTTGCCTTAGTCAATTTAACAATGGCCATTGGCTGGGGCTCACTTGGACAACAAAAGCTAACGTTACTTAGCCAACGTCAATGATCTTGCTAACAGTTGACGAAAACATATATTTTGTATTAACGATAGCTTTGATCGTGTCTCTACTCTGGCTAGCTAGATAACCATCTATGGTGGTTATCAACTGAACATGGTTTTGTCTTCAAGATAACCAGTTAGCTAGCGATGAGCTAACTGCTGCCTCTGCTGCCTCTGTCGCCAAAGCCTGTTGGCTTGTGTCACTGCCAACGTCTACCAATTTTGCTATCTGACAAACTTGCCAGTTAACAGTTTTTCTTTCAAACTAGGCAGCTACAGTTACCATTATTCATTTACACCATTCACAAATTACGATTTATACGACCTGCTTTGTCTACTGTTCCTTGTCCTGTCTTCTCATAAATGTGTCCGCGTTGTATTGTGGGTGGGATTAACATATTCTTCTTCTTCAATGGGGTTTATCGGCGGTTTTTGGTGCATTACCTCCACCTACTGTACTGGAGTGTGGGCCATTGACAGGGAGAAACTAAATCCTGCCTGCCAGCCCCGTTGCTCTTAAAAAAAGATAACAAAATATTTGAGACTATACCTAATGACGTTCTGCTCTATGTACTCTTTAAACTAATTTCCCGTATCCCCTTCTCCCTCATACTAGATCTCATCCTTTCTCTTTCCGTCTGATACTGCCCACACTGTAGCAATACATGCTCCACGGTATCTGTTTCCTGGCAATAATCACACTTTCCTGTTGGATGCTTTCCTATCACATTTGAGGCCTTATTCAACTGGTTGTGTCCCATCCTTATAAAAAATAGCCTCCTCTCTTCTGTCCCTTCCCGCCGTCCTACCCTCCTCGACTTTCCTCTGTACTTGAAATAAATACCTGCCCTTAGTATCTCTATTCCACTGCTACTTCCATCTCTGAACCATTTACGTTTTAGTCATTTAGCAGACGCTCTTATCCAGAGCGACTTACAGTTAGTGAGTGCATACATTTTCATACTGGCCCCCCCGTGGGAATCGAACCCACTACCCTGGCGTTGCAAACGCCATGCTCTACCAACTGAGCTACACGGGACCACCCTGTCCATATCAGGCATTTTGTCTCTGCATTGAAACTACAACCTCAACATCCCCACTACTAAGTGCTTGTTTAGCCAGTATATCAACTGCCTTGTTTCCCTCCACCCCCACATGGGATGGGACCCAAGTAAATCTTATCTGTAAACTCATTTGTCTAATCCTGCAATGGGTTTGTAGCACCTCATAAAGCAGGTCTTGTCTGCTATGTGAGCTAAAGGACTGGAGACTCATCAACACTGCACATTAATCAGAGCAAATTACTTCCTCCACCCACTGCAAAGCCAACAGTATGGCCATCAGCTCCACCGGATATTCAGCCAGATGATCTGTAATATGTTTCCTGACTGCCACCCCACATTCCTGCACTACAAATGCTGACCTAGTACATCCTGTCCTTGGATCTTTTGAACCATCTGTGTAAATGGCCACAAAATCCTGATACACAGTATCCAGATGTCTCTTAAACAAATCACATGGAACAACACCCTCCCTATCTTTCTGTAGTCTCTCCAACACTTCTAGATCAACTACTGGAGGCGGGAGTAGCCATGGTGGATTTACAGGAATAGCTACCGTTGGACTAAACTCCCTTCCATACAGTCCCATCTCCTTCGCCTAGGTATTACCCACCCACCCAAAGCTTGTGTTCTGTTCATGTTCCCAGCATGCCTGCAAAATCCCTTTCGCAGAATGAGACACCCATGTCCCTGTAGGTTGACCCAATAATTCATTGCCAGCTGCTGTCTCCTAATCTGCAATGGCATATCCCCCATCTCCACCTGTAATGCAGACACTGTGGAGGTCCGAACCATATGCTATACTGCCATAGTCTATTACAGATCGGATCAATGCAACATACATGGTCCTCAATGAGGAACGCCCAGACCCCCACTCCTTCCCCGTAAAACAGTGCATTGCATTTAGCACCTTCTTACACTTTCCCATCACTCTCTCAATGTGTTCTGCCCAGGTCAGTCTAGTGTGAAAGTATACCCCAAGGAACCTAAAGGCCCCCACCCTCTCCATTTCTCCCATATAACCTCAAGCATATCTCATCTCCCACCTTCCTCCTGGTAAAGAACACTGTCTGAGTTCTCTACAGAGAACCTGAATCCCCACATTAATGCCCACCGCTCTACCTCATCAATTGCTTTCTGTACCTTCCTGACTATGTATGGCACATTTCTTCCCCTCTTCCATAAGGCCCCATCATCTGCAATTAACGACCTTCCAATATCCGGCCGTACCTGAGAGTAAACATCCTTGATCATGATTGAGAACAACAGAGGACTAATCACGCTCCCCTGCGGTGTACCGTTATCCACCAGGTAGCTGCCTGATAGACCTTCCAAACAGGAAATCGTTTATCCAGTTGTACTTTCTTCCTCCTACCCCCATAATATCAAGCTTGATTAACAACCCCTCCTTTCACATCATGTCATACGCCTTCTCCACATCAAAAAAGACAGCTACAACAGTCTCCTTGTTCACCTGAGCCTTCCTGACCTCTGCTTCTAAGCAGAGCACTGGGTCCATAGTTCCCCTACCCTTCCTGAACCCACTCTGATGTGGCGATACTAGCCCCCTGCTCTCCAGGAAGTAAGTTAGCCTCTCCGTAATCATACGTTCCATAATCTTACATCCATGTGATGTTAAAGCTATTGGCCGATAGCTTGTTGGCCTCGTTGGGTCCTTCCCTGGCTTCCGGATTGGTACCACTACTGCCTCCTTCCAGCTGCCTGGTAGTTTCCCCTCCTACCACACTACAACACCAATACCTTATCCAGTGCCTCATCACTAAGATGGGCCAACATAACATAGCACACCTCATCTTTCCCAGGTGAAGTTAACCCAGCCTTACCCATTGCCCTTTTCACCTCTGCCATGGTAAATGGTGCATCCAGCACTCCAGGATGCTCCTCTCTCGTTCTCTCTCCCCCCTCTGACTATTTGCAGAGCTATGCACTTGGACAAACACTTAGACCATCACCTCTGCCTTCTCCTCATCTGTTACTGCCACATCCTTCCCACTCGTCAACACTGGATATTCCCACTCCCTTCTAACCCCAGTCATCCTCTTAATCATCCCCCACACTTCTCCCACAGGTGTCGCCAATGGTGTCACAGAACCGACGGCAACATGGCCTCTTTGCCTGACGGATAGTTCTCCTCACCAGGGCCTGCTTATACTGAATCAGATGTTGGAAGTTATGCGTCCTTTTCAGTACTCTAAATGCCCTGTTCCTACTCCTCACCATTGCCCCACACTCCTCCGTCCACCATGGGACTGCTTTCCTCCTCCTCCCTGAACTCTTAGGTATAGCCTCAGTAGATGCCCCCCCAACCCCCCTCTCCCCCCAACATCTCTGTCCCTACGAACCACTACATATCCCTGTATGATAAACTCCACAGTCGGTTTGAGCCATGTTTCCTGCACACAAATCACATCAGGCTTAGCTGGCATATCTACAACGAACTGCTTGAACTCCTGCCCATTAGCTAACAGGCTTCGAGCATTCCATTGTAGAACTACCACCACAACTAAGATCCAGTAATACATGACTCCACCCTCGGCTGATTGAGGTAATCTCGAACCTCTTCCCATGTCAACCCTGTCATACTCATGTCTCCCAGCAGCTTTCACTATCATCTCTACTTTAGCAGTGATATTGATAGCTCCTTCTATGAACATCACCAGCTTTCTCTTTTCTATGTATACCATATCACCACCCACCTGCCCAGTAATCCCTGGTCTAGATGCTCCTACCCATCTCTCCCTTGAACCTGTATCTCCCTGGACCTGGACCACCCTCACTGCCTCAGCATATGACACCTTCTCTCCACTCTCACTTGTTGCACCTCCACTGCCTGCCTCATTGCCTCACACCCACTATATGCCACACTATGAGCACCCCCATAGCTGAAGCACTTTGGTTGTACACCATCCCCACACTTCCCATACTCATGCTCCCCTCCACACCTGGCACACCTTTTTTTCTCTTTACAGGCTGTTGCCACATGCCCAAACCTCTGGCAGTTATAACATCTTAAAGGCTTCGGTACATAAGCCATCACATAATAACTCATATATCCTATGGTTACTTTATTTGGCAGTACCGGTCCTTGAAGTGTAACAGAATAGACGTGCTATCTACCCTAACCCCACCCCTTGTTGTTTGCGATCTTTGAACATTAACTAGAACGCCTCCTCTCAAGTTGTCGCTTACCTCTTTAGTGCTAACTGTTATATCTAGCCTAGTTGTAGAAGAACGGACATCTGCACAGTTTCACATTGAACATCACTCTGTCGTTTAATGACATGTGCCACGCATTCTGACAACCCATTCATCCGTAACGCAGCACACTGTCGTAAACCATAACAACGTACAGTACGACGTACAGCACGTCGTACCATACATAACATTTCCCCCCCCTTTCCAAAACCAGGGACTGGTACCATATATAAAATGTCCATAGGGCAAGAACCTAGAGTGATACCTGTAAGAAATAAACATTAACCCTTAAACGGATGGACTCTCCAAACTAGCCAGTTCAGTCCATTAACCTGGAGGTTGACTAAGACACCTAACGGAGCCTAAGAATGAAAAGAGGTTAAGTAGTCCCCCAGATAAGCAGGGCGAGTTCGTGCCCGCATAGGCCTTTCTTCCACCGCCACCGCTTGTGGCTCTGGCCCTTGGGGAACCCACAGAGGCTGGGGCTCAGGTGGTAGTGGTGGAGGAGGTCCATCCGGTGGCGTCTCTGGCCTGCATGTCTGTTTTGTGTGCCTTCGTGTTCCTTGAGGGGCAGGGACTTTTCTGAGGCGGCTGGCGTGCCAGCGTGATCCATTGCTCATCATGAATGTGGCGGGCCCCAGTTGTCGACTGACCTGCAAGGGGTCCGACCAGAATGAGGCCATTTTGTTGCACCGCTGAGGCCGTCGGGCTCGGACCCAGTCTGACACTTGAATGATCGACTTCTTCACCCTGTGTGCCTTGTCAAAACGCTGTTTCATTGCTCTTTGGTGCCTGGTCACTGCCTGCTGTTCTTGGGTGCGCCTAGTCGCCGGTTCTGCTACTCTCTGTGTTCTGAGTCTGTCCAGTGGCAGTTCCATCTCACGACCTAGCATGAGGGATGCCGGGGAGACCTGTGTTGTTGTGTGTTTGCTTGCTCTGTAGTGCATTAGCGTTTGATTCAAAGCAGTTTGGAACGTGCACCCCTGGACCAGGTGCGCTCTGATGCCGTTCTTCAGCGTTTGGTTGAAGCGTTCCACCCCTCCGTTAGCTTGTGGGTTGTAGTAGGCCGTGCGGATGTGTT